AACAATGACATCATGATATTATGCAGATATTTTAATACTACAAGATTTGATAGAAATATATAATTTAATATGTGTGAAAAATTTGTAATATATTTTGAAGAAAAATTACATCGATCATCGTATGCAAAGACAATAATAATAAATTGAAAGAAAGATAACTAAAAAAACAAAATAAAAAACATTTTTTCAAAAAGCAATTCCTCATCTTTTAAAAACTGTGATACAGACATTGAAAAGATTTGTTCATACGAAAGTTTGACAAATCCATTTGTCGATGAAAATTTTTAAATAATTACTTTATAGATTAGATTTCGTCATTTTAATTATGATGATTCATAATCTCATTAAAAAAATGAATAATTTTGAAGCACACTTTCTAATTATTGAACGCTAAAAAGGAAAGTGTTATAAAATTGAACCATCTTTTTTTTTAATCTTTATTTTAGAATCTTATTTCATAATAAATAAAATGTAGAAAATATCTTAAAGAAGCATTATAAGGAGGTATATATGGTAAATGTTAATAGTAGATTAATTGAAGTTGAAGGCAAAAGAAAGTAGGTAGACAAAAAGGAAAGGAGATATATTAGTGGCCAAAACTTTACTTTCTTTCGATGCCTCCAAGGGTCGGAAACCCTAAAATAAAGATTTTTGTACACTGCTCTACAAAATGAGTTAATAATGAGTGTTAATTTGTTCTGAGGTATTAACATTTATTTATAAATTTCTTTAAAAAATTCTAATTTATTTAGATTTATCCTTTTTTAAAATAATGTTTCTTTAACCTTTTTTCTATTAAATTACATCATGTATCCATTATTTCTTTATCTCTGAGAGTATCACTTAACATATGGTGTATCCATTATTTTACTTTTATATCCTGTATAATACTTTATAATCATCATTAATAGTAGTGCCCTGTGTATTAATAATGTGTCACAGACACACACCTTGGAATGAGGGAAAGATTAAAAAAAAAAACCTAATTTGTTTATACTTTTACACGTAAGAACAGAAAAATGGCCACTTGCACTTTGATTGACGTTTAAAGTGGTGGAAATGAAGATTTTGTACAGTGATGCAACTATCTTATTCTGAGACACGAGGTTTGAAAATATTATAGTATTATATTCATTAAATGACAAACTCTTTTAGAATCGGAGGTTGCTCAATGTAACTTTAAAAAAAATAATGATTAACTATTTAATCATCTTTTGGGGTCAAGATGCAATACAAAAGTCACAAACTAAAATTGCTTAATTACCAAATCCACTTTATTATGTTTCAATGTTGATGTAACAATCATCACCGGATTTGTCATATCAAACAGCAAGGTTCCAATGGTCATGGCAACGCGTTTTTTATTTTTTTTTATAAGCAAATAAAATCAATTAAATTAAATATAAGACTTACTCAAAATCTAAACATAAAATACAATAAAAAGTAGAAAAATATCATTAAAAAAATATAAAATACATAATAATCACATTAAACAAAATACATCTAACAATTATTATTTTAAAAAAAATATAAAATACATAATAATCACATTAAACAAAACACATCTAAGGATTATTATCTTAGTATGTAAGACTAAAAAATATTTTCATATCATTTTAAGAAATCCACTTAAAAAAATGTATATGAACAGAGACAAACAACTTCAATCGATCTATAATACTTTAATTAAAGACTACATAATTTTGAAATAACCAAATAGACCAAATGATCGTAACCCAAATAATAATTAAGTAATGAGATCGCTTCTTACTCTTCCTTTTACCAAACCAGATAAGAAAAAAAGACACTAAAAAAGAAAACATAATAAAATTAACACCAAATTAGCAAAAAACATTTATCTATATATTATATGCCACCTGACAAAAAACAAAAAAATGCATCAAATCTTCTACAAATAAATCACACTAATACAAAACAGAATTTATCTACACACCACAACTCTCCAAAAAAAACATGAAGAAAACAGAATTCAAAAAAAACTGCAAATAAAATATGATTTATTAAATACTAAAAGTATACATGCATTTTAAACATTGTTTTGAAAATTTAAAAAGATTAGTTGAATTGACAGGATGATATATGTTGATTCAAATATTCTAAGTGTAATTACATTTTTTTTATCATCACATGTGTTTTTTAGAGACAGTTATACTAAAGACATATATAGTTAAATATTAAATATGTAAGTGTATATTTTAGTCGATAATACAATTTCGATTAAAAATTTTATTAGATATATTTATTAAGTAAATTGATAAAATAAAAGAAATATTGATTGAATTAACATGAGTAAGTGAGAAATGAAAATACATAGAAGTAATTTTACAGTCTAACAAATTAATAGGATTAAAAAAAATGTTGAAATAAAAAGGCGAAGAGTGAATAAAAAATGATTAGTTTGAAAAGCAAATGGAAATTGATTTATGCAGATTGAGGCGTACGTGAAAGGCATAGAAGACGGAATCAAAGGAGAATCCAATGAGGATGTTGTTGAAGTTGATTTGATGATGTGAAACGATGTATGACAAAATTTTTGTTTGTGATTAGTGAGACAAAAAAGTAGTGTTTGGTTATTAGCATTTGTGTTAACCCTTTTTTCTTCGTGCACACTCACAACGAAAGGTTGGAGAAAAGGTTTTGGTCAAGAATAATCCTTTTTTTCCCACTCCCTAATTTGCATGCCTTGCGCCTTCTTTCCGCACATTATACCTCATACTTAACAAACCTTTAATAATTTGTTTTTAAATATATCTAATGTAATAAATATAAAAAAAAAATGTAAAGAAGAAAATAACTAATAATTAATATTTAATTTGTATGTATTTTGAAAGGTTTTATTATGTGAATTTTGATGTACATATAAATGACACGAGTTATTTTACCCAATATAAATATTATATACAGTTTAAATAAAAATAAGTTTGTTTATTCTAACAAATGGAGTTGAGTTTTTTTGGCTAAACTATGCATTAATAATGTAAAATAGTTTTATATAAAGAATATATTACTCTTGAAAGTTATGCACATATAATAGCTTTTTTTTATTGGTTGAATTGTCATTACATAATAATCAAACTCTATATATAGAAAAATTATATCTTATTACATTAGGTCGACCTTCGATCCTTTACTATACATTCAATAATTTATAATCTGATAAAATTTATCAAAATCAATTGTTAAATTAAAAGTTCCTTTATTTAAGTTATATACAAATGAATTACTTTTAATTTTTTTTTTATAACCACATTATTAGTATAGAGTTTTTATTGGCTTTGGTGATGACTTTTTGCTATAGAATCTGGCTTGTCATTTTTAATAAAATCTCTCGTCTCAAATACGTTTTTTAATGCATATAAGACTTCAAAAGAGTCAAACCTAAAACCTACTGAATGGGATTATCCCTTTATTTAAATTCATTCATAAAAGACTTAAACTTGAAAAACCTATAGTTAAGGGGAACATATTTGATTTTTATTTTAATTTTAAACATAATTTTATATAAACAATTAAGATAATGTGTGGTTATGACTAATTAGTTTAATCAATAAGATTTACATTTTATACAAAATTATTAAAATAATGCAATAATTTATCTAAGTTATGTATAATTTGATTTCTCATCAAACCCTGACTTTAACAAAAATTTGCATCCGAATGTTATGCTAATTGAACAACTTATTGTATCAGAAAGTATTCAACTGATAAAGTTGAAATTTTTATGATGTGTAAAGACCTAGTATGGAATCTTGGTTTTAATAAGGGATATGGTGCATGGTTTAAGAAAGGAGACCTAAAAAATAAAGCAAAAGCATTTTAATCATATATATATATTTTTTAGGTAAGCAAGTGAAATTAATTTTCATATCAATATCAAAATTACGTTATTTTTAATTATTAATTTCATGACTATAAATCATTCTGCTTCACAGTATATCGTAAATTTTGGTTACATAAAAGTTAATATGATGTCAAATCATTAGTATATATAATATTTTGTTCATAGTTAATGGTGATTAATCTAAACGAAATGGCAAATACAAGTTCATATTTTTATGATGAAACAAAGTAAATAAGAATGCATGGTAATATAAATATAGAAGATGTACATGGATGAAGAGATGAATTTGTGCGTATATTCTTAGGGTTCCTTGACCTAATATATACCGAGAAAGAGAGGATCTAGATAAATCTCTGCCTTTGCATTTAAATAAAAAGAAAAAAAATTGAAAATAAAAGGGAGTTAAAAAAAAATATAAAGAAGAAGACAAGAAGAATCCATGGTGTACAAACAAGGTTTATTTTAGACCAAGCTAAAGGATCACTCCAAAGATTGTGCCAACTTTTTATCTGAACTTTTCTTCACGTATAATGTTACATAAAGGCAAAGGTGTGTGCATAGGAAAACCACTTAACTATCAAGAAAGTAGTGATAACAATGGGAGCATTAAATTTAGAGCATAACTTTAGTTGACTCAAATAGCTACCCTCAATTCTCACAAGAATCTCTCACTGTTGCATGCTGTCATAAAATAATAAGTTATTTGAAAAAAAAATGTTTTCTTTTAAGCACCTCAAAATAAAAAAAGGGAAAAAAAATAAAAATACTAGTAATAATAACTTGCTTTAGTAACATTCCACCTGTTTTTAAGAAAAGAAAAAAGTAATAAAAAAATGATTTTTTTAAAGAGAAAAAAAGGAAAAGAAAAAAATAATTCTATGTAAGAGGCCTTTTTTTTGGCCCAATTGGTTTTTATCCTAGTTATCAAACACTTGACCTGGCTTTATAAGAGGGAATAGTAAGAAAGAGAGGGAAAAAAATTTGTTGGGGGAGAAAGAATGGGCGGCACAAGAGATTGAAGAAGATTGGAAATCAAGAATTGGGAGTGCGCATCGAGGTAATTTCGACCTACTATTCTCACATTCATATTTCTCCTACCCATCCACTCTTTCTATCATTATTCTTCACCGTGCCCTTTTCATTTTTCCTCACTCTGCACCTTCTCTCTTCCACCACCATAGGCCCGGCCCCACCTCTTTTCATCTTCACTCTCACCTCCATCCAAAAGGTACCGGTTGAAGCCACACCATGACACGTCCAAAGCCCCGGGTGCTCTACGGTCCCAAAACAAGCCAGCCACAACCTCACGCATCTTTCCCTTCTCCACCTTAATCATCCTCCATTGAACCATGCTACACCAGTCACCGCCGCTTCAGCGTCGCCACCCACCTAAGGCCACCCATCACAACCCATCTCCCTCACCTATCCTCACCATAGCGAGCCCAGCCCCCACCTCATTTCACCTTCACTCCCAATCATCGCAGCTACCCTCACTCGGACTAGTCACTTATCCTTCACCTATAGCCACCGTGAACCACCATTCTAATCTCGCCTTCACCTGAAACCTCCACCGTAGCCGCCACTAACCTCCTCCGCGGCTGGCCCGTTCACCTCCTCCCTCACTCCACGTCTTCGATTTCCCATTCACCACGGCGCCAGCCCCAGCTGCGTGCGCCGCCACCGTGGCCACCCCAGCCAACCTCGAATCACCCCTTCCAGTGTCTACCACCGTCCTCCACCATCACCCTCAAACCCCCGAATCCGGCTACCGCGCGGCCAGCCACCGCGGGATTGGGTCGCGCCACTGACTTGAGTCGCGCCGCGGGCCTCGTCACGGAGCCCCCCCTCCGTAATTGCGGGTCCTTTCTTGACCCAGGCGTGAGCCGTTACCCCCAGCCGCGAGTCATCGGTGGCCTTGGTCCCTTTCTCCCCAGATTTTGGTTGTGCCGCGGTCGCGACCACCGTGGAGGTCTCAGCCGGGACCGAGACCACTTCCCCTTTGTTTATTTTTTTCTTCTTTCTTCTTCCTATATTTTACTTTCTTCCATTGAATTGGGATATATCTGGATTGGGTGAGGATTTAGAATCATCTTTGTGGCGTACTGATTGTGTTTTTGGGTTTGATAAACTGTTTTGTGATTCTGGATTATATCTGTTGCGGGTCGTGGGTCCTGCTGGTGGATGTCAAATTACCTATCGTTATGCTGCCCAATTTTTGTTCATAATTTGATGATAAGCAATTTTTTTTTGGATCTCTTTTTATTGTTTTTGTTTTACTATTCGGTGTAAGGCTTGCGTTGTATTTTGTATGGTCTTTTCTTATTTGACTTAGGGCTGCCGGCCCGTGTTCCGACCTAAGGCTATCGGTCCCGCGTACCGACCTAAGACTATCGGTCCCCCGTACCGACCTAAGACTATCGGTCCCGCATATGCTTTAACCAAACTGATTGAGTCATGAAAAACTTTACAAGGGTTGGATTAGGTTGTAACTTAGTACTGATCGAGCAAGAGCTTCTTTTGATGCAGGAAGCATCGGTCAATCATCAGGGACAGAGGATTAATTACATGTAAATGCCAACAATGATCTTTTCTGCTTTTATGATTGGGAAATAAAAGGAAGATGCATGCACGAACTCACATGTGTCAAAAGAGAAGATCAATGGTTCTGTTTTAAAAAATTTATATAATGTTAAACCATGTTTAAGCCAGGTGTATTGTCTTTCTAAAAGAAAACAAAGCAACTTGGTCAGTAGATTCCCTTCCCTACTTATTTAGAAAAGAAGGCTTTAGCACTTTAGATAAGCAATGCATCCCCATTCTCTCACACTCATTCTTCTTCATTGTTTTGCTTCTTCAAGACTATAAACATCAAAACATTCAACCATCTTCTTCCTTCATCAAATTAGTTACCATCAAAACACCAAAATTAACACAAATCCACAAATCAAGGAATCATCATGAAATGAATCAAGACATCAAACAAGTGTATATGCTTCAATATCACATCATAGTCATAAAGTTCAAGCTATCAATATAAAATTGTGTTAAGTTATATGTAATTCAAACAAGATTATCCACAGTCTCGTATATGCTAACTTTTCTTAAAATCTTAACAGACCAACTTGATACAAAAATATAAAATAAATTAAAAAAAAGAAAATAAAGATAAAGAACCCTTATTTTTCTTAACATATTTTTTTGTTAGTTCAATAAAGATAGTCGTATTAGTCCAATCTTTTTTTTTTCCTTTGGGAAACTCTATTGACTCCTTTAGGAAGAACTTGCATGGTTCCTTTGTTTGTTATTGTTACAAAATTTTGTTGTTACTTGATCTATGAATCTAACTATTATTGGCCCAACTTTGTAACAAACAATCCTGTGATATTTGTGTTTGATGAAATGATAGATTGTAGGATAGCGATGCTCAGGAATTTTTACTTCATATATCAGTTCAAGGAGACTTTGTTGGGTGTGTTTAAGAGCAATGTGGTAGAAAAGGCCATTAGTTGTTTGACATAATGTCTGAAAGAGTTGCATTAAATATTTGTATATTTTCTCTATGATCTACATGAATGTGAGGATGTGATCCATTGGGTACCAAGTTTGGTGTGGCCTTCGAGTCACTTACAAATGTTATGTCTTTAAATTTAAATTTTAGTCTTGCTGAAGCATTCCAATGTAGCCCTGAGTCCTCAATTGCAACATTGACATTCTGAATGAAAATGATTGTCTACAGTGCTTGTATTTTATGACTGTCAATTCATTTGCTCTGTCTTTTTCATTTCTAGCTCTGGAAAAAAATATATATATAACCGTTAATCTGATTATGTGATCATAAAAATGGAACTGTTCCTTAAACAAAATTTCCTACACAAAGTGCTCCCAGCATGTTAGATAGCCAGCTTTGTAACATTTGCTTTAGATGTGTGCTTTACACATGGTAGATTTTTCTTTTGAGAATCTATTGACTATTGAGTAATTTCATATGTTGTTAATTGAAGTTTACTAGTTTTTTTTTTTTTTCATATTTATGCGTTTAAGATGCTACAACTACACTAAGTTGATACTTCTCTGCATGATTCTGTTCATGATATTTTCTATTTCTCAATATATCCGATTCATATATGATATTAGAAACGGTCCAGCCCAATCTCGTTCTCGTTTTACATTGAGACAAACGACAGTGATTGGTTTGTAGTTTGGAAAGTTGCAAACACCCTTGTCTCTTCTAACCTTTGTCCTTGTTGGAAGTCCCACATCATCTGTCTCCTGTTATTTGATATGGTTTAAATATATGTTAGGTTACGCCACGTATTGCCAATTGATTTTATGTTTGAACCTTATCAGCCCAAATTTGCAGTTTCCTAATTGAAATCCAAACATCTTAAAAATGGGTGTACTTCCTTGAGAACTCAAGGTTTCTATTGACAATATGACTTACTTTTTGAGTTTCTTATATTTATGTAGCATTTGATTGTGCTTGTTATATGATTTATTTTCAAAACAGACAGGGTAGGATGAAGAAATGGAGGAGGTTGGATGTCTATTTCAATAACCTAAGTGCTAATATAATGCAAATTACGTGTTATGAACGACTGAATCCCATTTTCTAGTTTCATTGAAATTATCACATGAACAATGTAATCCATATTAAATTCGTGATGTTATATTATTCTACCCAATTGATAATTCTTGTATATATTTTTTGTATCTTTTCAGTTTTGATATACTGATTTTGTGATGGCATGATAAGTAATATTTTACATTTATCAACATTCCTAGGGAGGCGTTTTTTTTGGTGTGAGAGTGACATTACTACTCATCGGAAGAACAAAGACTAATGGCACATTCACCAAGCTTGATCTCTATAGGCCTCAGTTTTGGTCCACTTCCTAAAACCAAAGTCATTGTTTCTGGAAGGCTTGTCCCAAGATCTTCAGCAGGACTACGCATTCGAGCCGTGCAAGAAAATGGTGGACCACGAAGACTGGTGGACATCATTAGACTTGTGCCTGAATTTTCAAGAAATTACTTTAGAAGTCCTTCTCGCAGGGCTCTATTTGGTGGAATCTCCTTGTTGGGTGGATTCTATGTTGCACAAACAATCTCATTGTCTTTTGGAGCTCTAGGAGTCAATGATGTTATTGCTGCAGTGTTATGTGTTCTTCTTACAGAATATGTGACTAAGTTTTATTACAGCCGACCAAAGGTTACTTTCCCAGTTGCTCTTCTCAACAACTTTAAAATGGGTTTCACCTATGGACTCTTCATTGATGCCTTTAAGCTTGCCAGTTGATCTTTAACATCAATGCAACTACTAAAGATTGAAACCATCATATTTAGCAGGTTACTCTCCAAAATTGGTTTGGTTCTGTTTAACCACCAAACGTTTTGTTTAACCACCAAACCTGTACATGTCAGAACTGGTTAACGTATAATGAAAAGTCAAGATACATTGTACCTGCTCACACTCCAAAGTTGGTTTGCTTGTGTTGATTGACAACGCTTGTAAATGTTAGAATTGACCCTAGAATCATCCTTACAATCCTTTTATATAAACTCACACATCAATTATTCTTCCCGTATATTTCTTCTATTTCTTTTGTAATTTGTGGGGCTATTATGGTTTTTTCACTATTCTTCTGTTCTTGTTATGTTATAAAAATGCGTACCTCTGTATACTTGTGTCACAAAGTTGGATTTATGAGCCTATGATCACATTCTGACTACATTTCGTTGGTGGACCTTGAGGATAAATAGCTTCATAAAGAAATGGTATCCCAAGTGGTGGATGAAAACTGATTTTATTAGGTTTTTTTATATCCAATGTATTTGTTGTCGATAGTCAAGAACTAATTTTTGAAAGTATTTTTTTAGTTTTATACTTTATGCTACCACCCTACCAATCTATGGAAAAAACTACATTCCTAGCTCTATCATGTTCCTCAAATAGTTGCAAACTAGGCATTTATATCAATTTCAAAAAACCAAAATTGTGACAAAACTAATGAATAAACATAGATAGTGGAGATGTTCGGTCATCAAACCCGTCAAAGTCACAGACAAAGCAAAATGTTTGATATGGTCATGACGGTATTAAAACTCTAGATATTTAGTCCTTATCAATGTCTTGTTAGGAATCTTCTAAACTCGGGGTCCCAAAGCAAATTGAGTTGACTATGTTCATTGCTTTCGAAAACATGGCAATGGATAGGGTCACGACAGGATATTATACTTTGTGTTTTTTCAAAAAAAAAAAAAAAAATCTCATTCACCTCATATTTATGTCGATTGTAATTTTAATCTTTATACCAGATGAATATCGATGCAAGCAGAAATGTATGTTTATTACTTAATATACTTATCTTTATATTACTTATAACACATATGTGTTTAATTATAACTCAAGTTTTATATGTGTTGAGATAAAATTCTAAAGGTGATTCTTTTATTTATTGGTGTTTTGTTTTCAAATGTTAATTCATATATTAGTAGTACTTTTTTCTACAAAATTCATCGTATGTTGTGATTAGATATAGTATATCATTTTATCTTCATCAAAAAATAAACTTTTACTTTACTCTTGAATCACCTTATTTTTCTTAACATATTTTTTGTTAGTTCAATAAAGATAGTCGTATTAGACCAACCCTTTTTTTTTCCTTTGGGAAACTCTATTGACTCCTTTAGCATGAACTTGCATGGTTCCTTTGTTTGCCATTGTTACAAAATTTTGTTGTTACTTGATCTATGAATCTAACTATTATTGGCCCAACTTAGTGACGTTGATGTGAAGCTATTGATTTGTCTATACATGCAACGCAAGTGATTAGTTGTGAGAGACATGTTACACCTGCATGTGTTACAAAATAGAAAAAAATCATGTGTCATGATAAGGAACAATGTAAAGGACTCAACCTATTAGACATAAATTTCATAAGAGTTAATGGAATCAGAAAAAAAGAAAATAAAACTTGTTAATAGGTATAACACCAATGAGACATTTCTATTGTTAGCTTAATGCATTATATGGAAATTTAGTTCTGTTAAATGTTTGGACAATATTTATTGACACATTAAATAAAAACATATTAAAAATGTATTTTCATTTTGTATATCAAAAATTATTGTTGAGTAAATAGAAAAAATAGATTTGGCTAATTTTTCGAATTACACAATTCAGACATGTATTTAATATCGAAATATAAACAAAAATATGTTTCCATAGAGAGTTTTTTACTCTTTTTTTTCTAAAATAATAGCTAAAAGCTGGGGTGAACTTAACAAAATGGGTGTGAGAATAAGAAAGCTCTTATGTAACAAATCAATAGAAAAATAGAAAGCCCAAACCATGAGTTCGTTCCATTCTACTTCCTCTCTACAGTGTGGTTCACTTCTTTCGCTCCAAACAAGAGGTAGCTTGTTTCTGGGAAATTAGCTGATAACATATTTGAATGAAATTTTCTTAATAAAATATATTGCTTTATCTTTAGTTTTACTTCTAATTGCAATTCTTTTTCCGCATATACTATCATTCTGAATTTGTTTTTGAAGTTAGGATAATATATTAATTTGCCCTGAAATGATATAGATTTTTTCCTTTGGAAATAATTGTGCTCGGTTTATGGAGGAGCTTAATTGTAAATGAGTTTGTGAACAAGAACCAAAATATAACTCTTATTGATATAATGGAAAAGAAGTTGAAGTGGACATTAGTTTTCTCTTAAACAATCCACCAAAAAAAACTTGTGACAAACAATCCCGTGATATTTGTGTTTGATGAAATGATAGATTGTAGGATAGCGATGCTCAGGAATTTTTACTTCATATATCAGTTCAAGGAGACTTTGTTGGGTGTGTTTAAGAGCAATGTGGTAGAAAAGACCATTAGTTGTTTGACATAATGTCTGAAAGAGTTGCATTAAATATTTGTATATTTTCTCTATGATCTACATGAATGTGAGGATGTGATCCATTGGGTACCAAGTTTGGTGTGGCCTTCGAGTCACTTACAAATGTTATGTCTTTAAATTTAAATTTTAGTCTTGCTGAAGCATTCCAATGTAGCCCTGAGTCCTCAATTGCAGCATTGACATTCTGAATGAAAATGATTGTCTACAGTGCTTGTATTTTATGACTGTCAATTAATTTGCTCTGTCTTTTTCATTTCTAGCTCTGAAAAAAAAAAATATAACCGTTGATCTGATTATGTGATCATAAAAATGGAACTGCTCCTTAAACAAAATTTCCTACACAAAGTGCTCCCAGCATGTTAGATAGCAAGCTTTGTAACATTTGCTTTAGATGTGTGCTTTACACATGGTAGATTTTTCTTTTGAGAATCTATTGACTATTGAGTAATTTCATATGTTGTTAATTGAAGTTTACTAGTTTTTTTTTTTTTTTTCATTTTTATGCATTTAAGATGCTACAACTGCACTAAGTTGATACTTCTCTACTTGATTTTGTTCATAATATTTTCTATTTCTCAATATATCCGATTCATATATGATATTAGAAACGGTCCAGCCCAATCTCGTTCTCGTTTTACATTGAGACAAACGATAGTGATTGGTTTGTAGTTTGGAAAGTTGCAAACACCCTTGTCTCTTCTAACCTTTGTCCTTGTTGGAAGTTCCACATCGTCTGTCTTCTGTTATTTGATATAGTTTAAATATATGTTAGGTTATTCCACATATTGCCCATTGATTTTATGTTAGAACCTTATCAGCCCAAATTTGCAGTTTCCTAATTGAAATCCAAACATCTTAAAAATGGGTGTACTTCCTTGAGAACTCAAGGTTTCTATTGACAATATGACTTACTTTTTGAGTTTCTTATATTTATGTAGCATTTGATTGTGCTTGTTATATGATTTATTTTCAAAACAGACAGGGTAGGATGAAGAAATGGAGGAGGTTGGATGTATATTTCAATAACCTAAGTGCTAATATAATGCAAATTACGTGTTATGAACGACTGAATCCCATTTTCTAGTTTCATTGAAATTATCACATGAACAATGTAATCCATATTAAATTCGTGATGTTATATTATTCTACCCAATTGATAATTCTTGTATATATTTTTTGTATCTTTTCAGTTTTGATATACCGATTTTGTGATGGCATGATGAGTAATATTTTACATTTATCAACTTTCCTAGGGAGGCATTTTTTTTTTTGTGAGAGTGACATTACTACTCATCGGTAGAACAAAGACTAATGGCACATTCACCAAGCTTGATCTCTATAGGCCTCAGTTTTGGTCCACTTCCTAAAACCAAAGTCAGTGTTTCTGGAAGGCTTGTCCCAGGATCTTCAGCAGGACTACGCATTTGGGCCGTGCAGGAAAATGGTGGACCACGAAGACTGGTGGACATCATTAGACTTGTGCCTGAGTTTTCAAGAAATTACTTTAGAATTCCTTCTCGCAGGGCTCTGTTTGGTGGAATCTCCTTGCTGGGTGGATTCTATGTTGCACAAACAATCTCATTGTCTTTTGGAGCTCTAGGAGTCAATGATGTTATTGCTGCAGTGTTATGTGTTCTTCTTATAGAATATGTGACTAAGTTTTATTACAGCCGACCAAAGGTTACTTTCCCAGTTGCTCTTCTCAACAACTTTAAAATGGGTTTCACCTATGGACTCTTCATTGATGCCTTTAAGCTTGCCAGTTGATCTTTAACATCAATGCAACTACTCAAGATTGAAACCATCATATTTAGCAGGTTACTCTTCAAAATTGATTTGGTTCTGTTTAACCACCAACCAAACTTGTACATGTTAGAATTGGTTAACGTATAATGAAACAAGTCAAGATACATTGTACCTGCTCACACTCCAAAGTTGGTTTGCTTGTGTTGAATGATAACGCTTGTAAATGTTAGAATTGGCCCTAGAATCATCCTTACAATCCTTTTATATAAACTCACACATCAATTATTCTTCCTGTATATTTCTTCTATTTCCTTTGTAATTTGTGGACTATTATGGTTTTTTCACTATTCTTCTGTTCTTGTTATGTTATAAAAACGCGTACCTTTGTATACTTGTGTCACAAAGTTGGATTTATGAGCCTATGACCACATTTTGACTACATTTCGTTGGTGGACCTTAAGGATAAATGGCCTCATAAAGAAATGGTATCCAAGTGGTGGATGAAAACTGGTTTTATTAGTTTTTTTTATATCTAATGTATTTGTTGTCGATAGTCAATAACTAATTTTTGAAAGTATTTTTTTGGTTTTATACTTTATGCTACCACCCTACCAATCTATGAAAAAAACTACATTCCCAGCTCTATCATGTTCTTCAAATAGTTGCAAACTAGGCATTTATAGCAATTTCAAAAAACCAAAATTGTGACAAAACTAATGAATAAACATAGATAGTGGAGATATTCGGTCATCAAACCTGTCAAAATCACAGACAAAGCAAAATGCTCTGCTTTGTTGATATCATCTTTATGAATGTCAAGTGACGGTATTAAAGCTCTGGATATTTAGTCTTTATCAATGTCTTGTTAGGAATCTTCTAAACTCGGGATTCCAAAGCAAATTGAGTTGACTGTGTTAATTGCTTTCGAAAACATGACAATGGATAGGGTCACAACAAGATATTATATTTTGTACTTTATATTTTTTTCAAAAAAAAAAATCTCATTCCCCTCATATTTATGTGGATTGTAATTTTAATCTTTATGCCAGATTAATATCGATGCAAGCACTTTACTTGTGAAGGAAATAACAAATAAAAAAATATATTTAAAAATAAATACAAATTTTCTTTTAGAAATTTTATTTGATTTTTTTAATGTTATGTTTATAGACTATATTATATAGAATATTTCTTGAAAGTTGCATGTAGAAATGTATGTTTATTACTTAATATACTTATTTTTATATTAATTATAACACATATTTGTTTTATTATAACTCAAGTTTTATATGGGTTGAGATAAAATTCTAAAGGTGATTCTTTTACTTATTGGTGTATTGTTTTCAAATGTTAATTTATATATTAGTAATATTTTTTTTACAAAATTCTTCGTATGTTGTGTTTAGATGTAGTATATCATTTTATTTTTATATAAAAAATAAACTTTTACTTGAATCACGTAAACATAACATTAAAATATTCCTTCACAACATTAAAACCACCAAAATAGAACATTAGAAATAATTAAATACAACTTGAGTCATTCAAACATAAATAACTAAGCATAGTTGGAAACGCATATACTTCTTAAATTTAATTATATAATATAATTATTTACATAAGATAGTTCAATTAAATTGATTATATATATATATATATATATATATATTATTTTATTTTGCAATGTCATTATATGATGCATTAACATGTTATCATATTTAAATATATATATATATATATATATATAATTTTTTTTATTTACGTATATTATATATCATTATTTAAGAGTTATACAACTTCAAATTCAAAATAATATTTTTATGGACTATAATTTAATTTTTGAATTTCAATTTATTTACATTTAAAAATCAGTTTTAAATTATTTTTTACATAGATATTTCTCGTATGAAATATGTAGATGAGTGAAACCAAATTTTTACCCTATTTAGAAAAAAAAACACTCCATCTTTTCTTTTATTTTATCATTTTAGATATGAAGTACTTCATTTGAAAAATAAAAATAATATTTTAGTTTAAAGATCAATAAAAATACGTTTATAAATAAAATAATACACAATATATATATATATATATATATATATATATATATATATGTTTGTGTAAAAATAAATGAGTGTAAATTTTTAAAACTGGAAAAAATACATAATAAATAACTAATAAGTATAATACAAAGTCATAATTTTTTTAAATTAGAAGAATAATAAAATAAATTTTATTTTAATTTTCAAACTCATCATCAAATAATAATAAAATACATAAAAAAATATTAATTATTTTTAATTTTATTAATGTTTGTATTCAAATTTTCTCATGCTATTACTTTATTAATTTATTTACTCATTTTTTTCGTAGATCTACTGAAGTTGATAAACTTAATTCGTAAACGAGTAAGAATCTACTTTATAGAAAATATTTTTTAATTTAATAATAAATATAATAATATAAATTTTTTATTATTAAAATAATAAAAAATTAATTAAATTCATAGAACAGTAAAATAAAAAAATTATGAATATTTAAAATCTCTTTATCCTTTAATTACTCAACATAATATGTCACATCTGTTATAAAACTCCTAAAATATCATGTCTCTCGATTCTTTAATCTAGAGGGTCCTGAGTAGCGGTGAACAACAACAAAAAGAGCGACTACAATACGGTTCAACTAAATTTGTGTGACTAAGACAAATGTTGTGTCATCGTCGCACGACCAAAGGAGCACGTAACGACGAAGTCTAAGAAAAAGTGAGATCTGAACTTATTAAAAAAAATAAAAAAATAAAGATAATTTAAGTTTTTCTTTTTCATCAAATTCATCGTACAAATTTACTTAAAATTCAACGATTTTAACTCTAAATCTATTTTAAAACGAATTTACTCACAAATTAACTTATACTCAATTTAATAACCATCATAAAAACATAGAACTAAAGAAATTATAATTTTATTTGCATTGAATAATTGATTAAGAGAGAATTAAAAATATTTTCATCTTTAGAATTTGGATATTTCTTTTAAATAATAATAATAATATTTAATAAATTTAATTTAATTAATTATATTAATACAACATAGGAAAAAATAACTTAAGAAAAATACGAAAAATAAGTTGTTATTAAAATACCTTAAAATCGACATAAATGAAACTGAAACTTCAGTAATTTCAAACTATTTATATTTCCTGTGAACTAAATGGATAATTACAATAACAAACATGGGTTTAACTATTTATAGTAATATTTTTTGTATTGAAGAAACTAATTAAGATGTAGTAATTAGAAGGAACTCTCTATAGTTCCGCTACTTATTTATCTATTCTTATTTTTTTGGAAGATGTATATTAATTACATTTTAGACTCATTCATTAAGAGTGTTTTACTTCAATTTTTTATATTTCATAAAATTCTTTTAGAACGAAATCTTTTTACTTTCTTAAACCTAAAATCATTTATGATTCGAGCTAGTCACATAATTGTAATGGGTTAGAATATTTTTAAATTACTTACCAATATTCACATGGAATAAATTATATTAACAAAAATATTCATTATTCTCGATGATATCCATCAAATTTGATCTATGAAAGAAAATACTTATTTAATATTTGTTCATAGTTATTAATATTATTCGTGATATCAATGATGAATAAATCGAACAATTATCCTATTAAAAAAATGTTTCCTTGGTTTATTAGTAACTTTTTTCTTTCTTAAAAAAAAGAAAGTTAATTTTTCTGTGGATATTAAAGCTATATTTTTTCTTCTACCACTTTTAAAATAAGTTTAAATAATAGAAAAAGGTTGAAAAGCGTGAGCATTTGGAAGGCATCGTAGAGACACGTGTCCAAGGGTGCTGTCAGCGCTGGAACGATGTGGACCCCACAAAGAGGCCACGCGTTTCGCGGATTTGTGCTGCTCAAGTGCGTGTCACGTGGGCCACATTTTTGTTTTGTTGGGTTCCCTTGAAGGGCCCCGATAACCTCACCCGCACACCTCACCCTCCACTACAAAACCCGCTATCCCCGGTCACCCCTCACCCTGCGCCTTGCACACCGGCACTCCCGGTCCCCCTCCTCCACGTGTCCACGCCGACCCCACAGGCAGGTGACGTCATCATTACCCTCTTCTCTTGAAGCGAAAAGAAAAATAATAATTAATTAGATAAATAAAGGAAAATGCAGTTTGAGGACTGAAGACTTAAAAAGACCAAGACCCAAAGACTTTGTGAGAGTGTTATGTTATGCAATTCCTATTTTATCATTTTTCCCCCTTTATCTTATTAAATGTTTGTTTCATTTTGATTTATTTTATTATTATTGGTGTTGCTGCTATTAATTAATTTCTGGTGCTAAATTGAGAGAACTGTGTGTGTGAGACACAGAGATAGAGAGAGAGGGAGAGGAATCAAGATAGTTCCTTTGAATTTTCTATCAGAATCTGAGGACCCAAAATCTAGGGTTTTCTGTTCTTTCTATTGGTAAGTGAGAGCTCTGGTATTCTTGTCACTCGATTTTTCTCTCGATTGATTTGGGGATTTCGTTATTGCGTGATTCGTTTCTCTCTGAGTCTGTTTGGGGATTAGGGTTTTTGGGTTCGTTCCTCCTGGCTGAAACTTTTTTGAAGATGGGTTGGAGAATTTGGTGACTGATTGAGTTGTGATGTCGGAATTCTTGAATGGAATCACGAAAAGTTTATTTTTTTAAATGGCGGGAAGGGGATTTTAGCTGAGCTAGGGTTGATTGTGAATGTGGGGAGAAAAGGGGGAGAATTGAGGGTTTTGGGGTGGTGTGAAGTATAAATTTGGTGAAATTTTGTGAAACTGAGCTTTGTAGGTAGTGTGTAGTTGGCTGTCTGGCACTGACCGACAGTTGAATTACATATGCTGTTGATGTATGATATGGTTTTCCTGTGGTTCTGTGTGGTTGTCTGTTTGACTAGATACGGCTTTAAAAAAATTTAGAATAGTTTTTGAATTTTTGTTCCTCTGGTTTATGTCTATCTATAGATGTAGCTATCATTTGAGAGGTGTTGTGTTTCAAGTACTTGGCAACTTTAAAGTTTTGTCTAGTGAACACAAAATGAACGAATCCCAGTTTTGTAACTGTTATCTGGTTAAGAAGGTTTGTTTGTTTTTAAGATGAATCATGATCAATTTCGGTGGAGGTTTCTGGGTGATTTTTATCACTTATCCCCCGAGACTGAATTTATTCTTATGAAGGTTATCAGTGTTATTTTATCATCATTTGGCTTCGTTTTAGTGTAAGGAATATGATTTGTGTATCACTATGTTGATTTTGTAGGGATCTGTAGACATGCAGTCCAAGTCTGGAACTGCAAATCGACTGAGGTCAGATCCTCATTCCTTTCGGCCTAGCAGTGGTTATTCCGATCCTTGGTGGCGTGGTATTGGTTACAACCCCTTGGCCCAAACAATGGCTGGGGCAAATGCGTCCAATTCTTCGTCTCTTGAATGCCCTAATGGTGATTCTGAATCCAATGAAGAAGGCCAATCTTTGTCGAATAGTGGAATGAATGAGGAAGATGATGATACCACTAAAGATTCGCAGCCTGCTGCTCCTAACGAATCAGGTGCTTTTTAGAGTATCATTTAACCATTTAAAGAAAAATGGTTGAATTAGGGAACATAATCAAATGAATTGGCACTTTAGTTCTTATATATAATTTTTTCATTCTTCCAATTATTAATACGTTGTTGTTGTTTTTTGCTTCTTTGCAGGAAATTACGGGCATGAACAGCAAGGGATGCAGCATACTGCGTCATCTGCACCGTCCATGCGTGAAGAATGCCTTACTCAGACACCCCAGCTGGAGCTTGTTGGTCATTCAATTGTTAGTCTTTTCCTTTGGTATTATCACTTTTTTAACATATAGACATGGTCCAAATGTTGATGACTTATTTCAATAGCATAAATTGTTGCTGATTCATGCATATCATTTTATGGGAAATCTGTAGTAGAATTTATAGTCGCATGTTTTTGGAATGGAGTGGACTCTTTATATTCTTTTGATGCAGGCATGTGCTACAAATCCATATCAAGATCCGTATTATGGTGGCATGATGGCAGCTTATGGTCACCAGCAGATGGTATGCAGTTAATCTTGTGTTAAGACATTATTAAAGTTTATTATTGGATATGTAGCTCATACTATAAAAATTACTGATTAGCAATTTTCACAAATTAGTCTGATAAGAAATATGGTCAGAATATAATCCCAGAACGACATGTTCTTTTAATAACATTAAAATTTATTTCCTTTTGTTTGGTCTGTTGTCTTGTTTAAAGCATTGATGATATTTGGAGTACAGAGATAAATAACCATATGATATTTTTATCATTAGGGATATGCTCCTTTTATAGGAGGAATGCATCATGCCAGAATGCCTTTGCCCCTTGAGATGGCTCAAGAGCCTGTATATGTGAATGCCAAACAGTACCAAGGAATTCTTAGGCGAAGACAAGCCCGTGCTAAAGCAGAACTTGAAAAGAAGCTAATAAAATCTAGAAAGGTACAAATGCGTCAGAGCTAATTTGTCATGTTTTTTCAACTACGATTTGGACAAGTGATATCTAACCACATTTCGCAGTCATACTTTTTCAGCTATGTTTCTTTTGTTGTACTTGTGTACTAAACCTTATTACCCTGCTGATCTAAACAGGAAAATATTTTGGACATTAATAAATTTTAACTAATCTGTCTGTGAAGGTTTTATACCAAAGATACAGTCAAAGTAAAAAAGAAGCCTAGTAATTAAATTTTGGACCTAATAACGTGTACTTGTGCTTGAGCCCAACTTTAAACTTATAGGCATGATTTGGATCTTATAAGACGAAAAAGAGCAACAACTAACCTGATTAGCTTCCTTCTCATATCCCAGTCCATCTCTCCATGCAAATCCATTTTTTGGCTATATTCTCTTGCTTCAAACAATGATGATGTCAAATTCCTCAGCTTTATAGCTGTTTTGCAACAAATAAGCCAGGGATACACTTTTTATGTAACCTAGCTGGTTCAAATTTTGTTCACTTATCTACCACATGAACGTAATTTGGTGTGCGGGAAGGTTGTAATGTGCTCATGAACACTGCATGTTTAGATTAAAAGTTTGGAATGTGAGATTCCTGTTGTAATACTGTACCATTGTACCACAAGACATGTTTCATTATGTGTAGGTCAAGACACTTGTGCATCAGTATCCATTGCAGTAATGTCCCATGACTATCCTGAATTAATGATGTCACAACTTGGTTCTTGTATTCCAAATTGGAAGCTGGAACTATGAAAACATTTATGAACATCTATTACCCAATAGTCTGAATCATATTAATTGCTAATATATTGTTTGCTAGGATCTGTTCTTGCGGTTTCAAGGAAGTCAGGAGTGTGGTAAAAAAAATAAGCATGCCAATGCAGGCAGCGGAATTGTTATAACCTATGCTGAAAATCATAATAATATATTCTGTATTTATTATAGATATTTAGTCTTTATTTTAGAGGAAATTAAATATTCTTTATTCATGCATAATAAATGTAATGAGTCTATAAACTCAGTTCCGTTGTGTATTCAGATGGTTTTCATTCCAATATTTCCTGAAATGATTTTTCTATATTATATTATCTTCTGTGGTCTCCTCTCTAATTTTGCAGTTACCTTTATTTTTCATTAGGAAACTTATTATGTGCAGTTACCTTTATGTTTTCAGTGGAAAACATATGCCGTTAACTTTATACAAACAGGATTGTATTTGAAATTGATAATCAAATCAGTAAGTAAATAGCTTATTCTTAAGGGTTTATTTAACATGTTGAAAATAATGTTTTGGATGAGACAAGGAATTTGGTTGTACTAGTGCCACTGTCTTGCTTATCTTTTCTGGATCACTATTGGGCTATGCTAACATCTGTTTCACACAGCCATATCTTCATGAGTCTCGGCACCAGCATGCTATGAGAAGGGCAAGGGGTAGCGGAGGACGATTTGCCAAGAAATCTGACGCGGAAGGCTCAAACAACTCAGCCAAGGAAAAGGATAATGGTACTGATTCTGTCCTTTCATCACAGTCAATTAGTTCATCTGGTTCTGAACCTTTGCATTCTGACTCTGCGGAAACCTGGAATTCTCCAAACATGCAACAAGATGCAAGAGCAGCAAAAGTGCACAACAGGTTCGAAGCACCCCGTTACCAAAATGGCAGTGGCTCTTACCACAACCATAATGGTTTACAATCTTCGGTGTATCATTCATCCTCAGGTGAAAGAGTGGAGGAAGGGGACTGTTCACGTCAGCAACTAAACCATAATTGATGGGGGGTTAGAGGCCGAGGTTGGTTTGTATCATAGAGACATATTGGTGAATACCTTGGTTATCTGTAAACATTCTTGACAATATATATGTCAAGCGGCAAATCATTCTTGGCTTAGTTTTTGTGTTTGTGGTGTGAATGATATTATGGGGGAGGGAAAAGAATGATTGATTATTGGTATTTGTCGGTCAATCAATCCTTCATTCTTTTCTCATTTTTAAGTTTGTACAGTTATAGTGGTTTAGTCAACTCCAACTTCAACCAACTTGGGTGGATGATGATCAGCTCAGAAGACTATGAAGAAACAAACTCTTGGACGAACCAACACTATGTTTGACTGGTTTACCTTGTGTAAGTTCAACTACTTGTGAATGTTAACATCAGACGTCATAGGATAATGAACATGTTAGTTATTACATTACACTATTTGTTCGCCCTTGTTTTAATTTTAGCATGTCATTGTTTCTATAGGAATTTAAATTTGATGGTTTTCAACGAGAATGAAAATGAAAAAGAAATATTTCTGGCATATTCTAACGTGTGTTTGGCCTTGTAGAAGTGAAAAAGAAACACTCATCTGAATTTTCTTGTATTATAATATAAGTGGGATTATTTTGAAAGGGAGAATAAGATGCTATTATCTAGACATGAAGTACTGCACTTGATTCCTTGAGATCACTTAGCCCCAAAGTTTGCTTTTAGCAAAAATATATTGAGGACCTTTTACCCATTCAAATCTTAAAATAAGACACCCTTCTGAGTTAAGAAGTTATTAGTTATTTGAGTTTAAAAGTTGTTATCAATAAAGTTTTGTTAATGCACTATCATTCCTTTGTTTTATGACAAAAATGAAGTATTGTCCTCTCATTTGGTGTGGTTTGATATTTTAATCAGTGGTGAGAGAAGGTCAATGTGGTGCTCGATCTGGTGGGGGTGCCTGTGATTTTTCCAATTACAAAGTCATTTTGGGGTAATTTGGTAAAAGTGTATAGATTAGTGAAGAAAAAACTAAAAAATGGATTTCATATTGTTTAACACTCGTACATACACCCATCCTACCAAAACCTCACAACAAACTCTCATCTTTATCCATCAAACCAAATAAAGTGTTAGAATCACCTTTTATATAAGATTAGTTCGGCTTGTTAGCTTATTTCATTAAAGAAATCAATACGCGCTCACACACACTCTAATGGATTTATCACTAAAATGACCGATACGAATTAACTAGTCTTTCACTAAACAGACCCATAAACTTACGGTTTAACAGATATATCACATAAAATTATGAAAACCACAAAAAAGGATATTGCATTTTACAGTTATAAATGTTGTTCAGTAAGAAAAATAATGTTTTACTCCTTTAAAAAGGATATAATATCATGTAATATTCAAATAACATTATTTATGAACAGATAATCTTGTCATGCCTATTAGATTTTTCTGATAGCTCTTAGCATGACCAGCTTAGCTAAACAGGGTTTTTGAAAGTCTGCTCATGTTACCGTTTGCAAATAATATAAATAAGTAGGTCGTAAACATTGAAAATATTTAACATATTTTCATCCCCGTTTCTAAGCTTCATGACAATTTAAATAACAAAATTGCTCAAATTCAAAGGACTAATTTATTGTGAAATTTACAATTTCAGAAGCTGAATTGCATACACAAACCTGTAGGAATGAACTCAGATTATTCAAGGACAAAATTGACATTGAAGCGTTATTTGTGAAAACAAACTATTATTTATAAACGACAAACCAGTTGATATTATCCGATCATAATCACATTTTTTATTATTTATAAATAGATATTTTTCCGTAGGATAATAACTGTGTTCATGATAGTTTATTTTAAATAAAACAAATAATCTCTTCTCATTATAAAATTTAATCTTCCCCTTTGCCATTTTGACTTGTGAGCACTCATGTGAAGCACATCCAAAAAGAAAAAGTAATCCTTAAGGACCATCGATATGAAAACGAACCACTTTTATGTTATTATTTCATACATGGTACTTTTACACTCAAAAGGAAAATTGTGAACTAGTCACTACATATATTTCATTTAGGTATTATATGATTAACCTTTAATCATGCTGTTTATCTTCATCCACATCCCCTACCACTTCTTCGGTATTATTATATTGTCCCATGAAACCTTTTTCGTCATCACCATCAGCTGCATGCTCTGCTCCAGTTTTGCTAGCATCAGCGGACCCTGTGGCATTAGCCACATTTTGTTGCTTATCCATCATCCCAGACAAGGCTAAAGTTGGAGACCATTCAAGAACATCGTCAATGATGTTAGATACCCTCTTGTGGTACCTGCACAAAAATCAAAGCAACATGATGTAATAGTTAGAAAAGACCAACTACAAATTGTTTTTTTTTTCTCTTATATAGATTTGTTTATAGATCCAACTTGACAAGAATTTTAGCTGAGTTTGAGTTTATGATTATTTTCTGCAAGAATAAGGGTATATGTCATTTCATGCATTGTGTTTGTGTTTAGGGCTTACCTTGCTCTGGCAGCTTCATCAGGTGCATGATGCCTCAGCAATAATATGAAGAGCACAGCTACCCCAGCATAGAAAAGCCTCGTTGTCCACTTAGGCTTTTCCTCTTCATCTTTCTTAGGCCAAAATCTGAACAACTCCCGCAGTGTTGCTTCCTCGGCGAGGATGTTAGGGAAAAACCAGATTCGCTTTCCAAGAGTGATATACAAAGCGCCAAATATTGCACCTCTTACTACAAAATGAAAAAAAAAAAAAAAAAAAAAACCATGAGGCCCAAGGAAGCACTGAACCAGAATGTGGTGCAGCTAATAAAGCATATTTCAGACAATAATCCACTTCTAATAAAAAAGTTATAGCTGCCAAAGAGCACAAGATGTTAAAAGAAATATATCTTATTCCTTCAGCATCTAACAATATTACAATATATATATATATATATATATATATATATATATATATATATATATATATATATATATATATATTTCAGAAGTCAAGGGTGAAAAATAGTTGGACAAAGCAACTTAAGTAAAAATTTGAAAAGGCTTGTAAACACCCAAAAGCACGCAAAATAACGGTGCATGCTATGGATTCTATATATTTCACTGGTCTAAAGCATCAGCTGTCAAGCCACATATGAAAATGTAGCCTATACAAATATCCCCCAAATTTTCCTAACTTTTCACAAACCTCTCCGGTTCAAGAGAGCCTTACAAGATATTACAATACTGATACTCTAGAATAATAGTTTTCTATTATTATATTATTTACACAATTCAAATTTTAAACCAAACATTCAATTTCCTCTTCCTCATCTGAAGACTAAACCTCTGGAATTATAGTCATGATAGATTGACTTTCAATCTCCAAATGTGAAAGGCTTTTTCTCTCCTTAATTCACTATTACATAGTTGTTAGATTTATTTCCAATCTAATCTACAAATATTTTATATCCATCTATATTATTTAAAATTATAGTAACATGTCAATATCTTTAGTTTAAATATTGTGCTATTTTGTACTGGTAAAGTACTATAGCATACTCATGCAACATACACAGTAAAGTCTAAAACTAAATGAAGAAACTAGGAAAAAGCAATCAAATATTAAACGGAAGAAAGACTTACTCAAAAGTAGAGAAAGGATGAGGAAAAGGATTCCAGCGCATGAGTAAAGTATCAATAGCTTGCAGCGATGAGGGTACACAGGAAATAAGCAAATAGCCAACGTTAACACAGGCCAGAAAAACGAGAGGAGCGTCTGCCAAAGTGGATGGCGTTTTACAAACGTCCATGCAAAGAAAGCATCATTTTCAGAAAATACTTGTTCCTGCCAAAGACAATCAAATCTTGTTAGATTCAAACATAGAAATAAACCCAATCACATGAACTGCGGAGGAGAAAAACCATACGTTGTGATCATTTTAATATAGAAAATGCACTTAGACTCCTTGAATACCTTTATAATGCTCATATATTTCTTCCCTTAAGTTGATTTTAGAAAGTTGTTTTCTTTATTATTATTTTTTTCAAGATTAAAGCATGCTAGATAAAACCAAAATGAATATATCAACAGCACCAGAAAAAGCTGGTCAATAAATTGAATGATTGAATCAGCAACATAGTTATCAATCTTGGACAGTGTCACATAGCAGCTAACCCCAAAAATGTTGTAGCAGTATAGTGCAGAGTGGAATGTGGCTGGAAACAATCAGAATTCAGCCAGCAATAGAAGAGAGCGTTGCAGTCACCAGAAAACTGCAGAGAATCCCCAATAAAAAGTGGGGTGGGCACCCTTCTCAGCTTAGAGTGAGGGTGTTCCAAAAATGAGTGGGAAACCAATAAAAGACCTAGCTTTCATCAAAGGTTGGGGAAGTAAATCTTACTTGAACCCCTAAAACCCCCAAATAACACTGGAAAGGGGCAAAACACTCTAGTATGTTTTTTTACTACCAGCCTATGAATGCTGCTCTCACACAACAGCCCTATCGCACCGATATTAATAACTTTGAATTTATCAAGCAATCCATTTCTCAACATAGCACAAGTAACCATATCAGGCATAGGCAAACCAAAGTTGTCCATTTAGAGTGACCAAAAGTTTCGTACATACAAAGTTTATTGACGATCACATTTTACATTCGGCTACCAAATGTAGTTCTCTTCTCTCTTAAAAGCCTACAATCAATATATGATATAATCATTGCAACTCAATAATTGCAGAAACGAGGCTCAAACCAAGAGTAAAAAAATACTTACCGGGAAAATTTCCAGATGTGCAGGCCAGGTAGACAACTTTTTCTTCCCAGGACGAACAGTTTTTACAACACGATCACAGCGCACTAAAAGACTTTTCCCAAGTAGAATGTTGGCAATCTCCTCTGTCTCTAAATTCCTATCTGATTCTAGAATATCCTTGAGCTCCGGATTGTTTTTCAAGAAGCTCACGAAATCCTTCCCTCTAAAATACTCCACACGAGTCTC